TGGTGCAAGACATCAACATTAACTACGAACTCTATTATAACACCCCTTTGACCTTGGCAGCCAGGTTAGGTCATGTTGACATTCTGAAAGTCCTCATTGAAGCAGATGCTGATGTTGATAAAGCTGGGTGTGCATATAAACAATGTACTCCATTAATATACGCTGCAAGTAAGTGTGCTTTATAATATGATTTCTTTTTATGTAGTTATAAAATGACATGGCAGTGTGTTTCTATATCGAGATTCTTCGAGAAAAGACACATGAATCTAGGCTTTTGCTCGTTCACATCCGGGCAAGTCGCGAAACCTCATCTACAATTCGCCTCCGACCCAATCAGAAGTTTCCAATTTGAATGACATTGCATATTAATTCTTAAGTCTCGGAACATATATTTATATATACGTCAATAACTTGGGATGACCCAATGCTAAGCCTACCCCCCTGAATGTGTTTTGAAAATTCAACCCCACATTTATGGGTTATCTAATATCAGCCTATTTAGCACTCAACAACTTTTGACATCCCACAGAGAAGCCCCTGAGTCATGCTGTCACTACCCCCCCCCCCCACAGAGAACTAGTATTTACATATAAGATTTGTATCCTTAATAATGTGTATACACATTAAAAACGATACAAATCATATGCAAATCGTTCACTGCAACTTAGAATATCATGAAAATACATATACACTCTACAGCTGCTGAGATGATTTTTGTATTGTTATAATGGACTGTTTTCACATCTGATTGTAGAATATTACGAGAATACATCTACAGCTGCTGAGATGATTAGTATATGCATTGCAACAATGGAATATTTTTACATCTGATTGTAGAATATCATTAGAATACATCTACAGCTGCATAGATGATTGCTATATTGCTATAATGGAATGTTTCCACATCTGATTCTAGAATATCATGACGATATATCTTCTGCTGCTGAGATGATTGCTATATTGCTATAATAGAGTGTTTTCACATCTGATTGTAGAATATCATGAGAATATATCTTCTGCTGCTGAGATGATTGCTATATTGCTTGAAGCTGGCGCTGATGTAAACAAAGCAGATATCTTGAGACATCGTACACCTCTTCACTGGGCAGCATTTATAGGTAGTGTGTCTATTCTATTTAAAATAAACTTGAAACTGCCCAATTAAGGAATACTATGCTATATTTTTCATTCTATGTACAAAATGTATATGCATCTTTTAGGTGGTGACATAAAAATTGACGTCATTCTTCGTAAAAGAACGTAGTCTTTCATAACTCAAATACCAGTTGACTGATTTAATTGAAATTTTATGTGACAATGCCTCGAGACAAAGGAGCTTTGCTCAAGGAAACATTGTCAAGATGGCCACTGAAATTCAAAATGGCCACCATTTTTCGACATTTATATTATTCAATGTTTTCTTTGTGTTTCTAGGTAATCTAGAGGGAGTGAAGCATCTGGTAAATGCTGGTGCAGATGTTAACACAATGGACACACATGAGAGAACTGCCTTACATAGAGCTGTAGAGAATACAACTGCTAACAGGAGTGATATTATAAGGTGAAATAATATCATGTGATGAAGCATATCAAAATATATGGAAATGAATAGAGTAAGACTATATAAATCTGGAGTAGAAATAATCCTGTTTTACGACGAAGGTCTCTTCTGTTTTTATGTCACCACCAAAAGTGGTGACATATTGTTATGGTCTCCGTTTTTTTGCGACGGTGGTTGGTGGTTGGAGGTTGGCATCCGGCGGTTGGTGGTTGGAGGTTGGCGTCCTGCGTCTGTAACAATTTCTTACAACTTCCTATAACTTAACAAATACTGTTTAGACTGACTTCAATTTTTTTTCCTATTATGACATACAGCTCAATGTTTGTTTATATTTTTCAGGTATCTAGTCAATAATGGATCTAACATTGATGCTAAAGATGTGGATGGTTGGACTCCCCTTACTATATCTGTCATAATGGGTAACCTTGACAACATATCTGAACTCCTATCTTTAGGGTCAAAGGTCAATTTGAAGGACAATTTCAAAAGACCCCTTATAATGATAGCACAGGACCCCATGAATCAAGCAGTAATTGCAGCACAGTTAATTGCTAATCGGATGATTAACCCAGATAAAGGATTCAGGTATATTTATCCAGCGAGGGATAACATAAGTAAACAAAAAGCTTGTGACATCAGTTATGATGTCATGATGCTGTTACTAAATTACGGAGCAGACCCGCACTGTTTCGGTTCACACATAAGTCATGGATATTTCCCGTCAGCGTTTTACCATGCAGTAATGCATCTCGATATATCGTGTGCTATGCTCCTTATAGACGCTGGTGGTGATTTGAGACTACACAATTTTGCTCATTTTCAACTCGGTGACAACAACAATAAAATGGTGTGTGATGTTAAATTTGTACTGGAGCAGAGGGGTTTAATGGAACTATGCAAGTTGGTTATAAGACAGCACATCAGTGGGAACAAAGAGAAAACTGCTTATATGTTGAATCTTCCTATGCCTTTGGCTAAGTTTGTGGCTAATATAGGTCCAAAGTAAAAGTGCAATTTGATGTTTGTTATTAAATTATTTTATATCAATACAAAATATTTATGTGCGAATAAATCAATTTATAATTTTGAACACAACAATAAAATAAGAAAAAAAAATACTGTAAGATTTAGATTCATGTACTATATTGCACAGAAGGTATTTTTACTCTGAGCATAGATCTCCTCAAGTACTATAATATCTTGTATTCTAAAATCCTCTCCTTGTATTCTACTTGTTTAATATTTATAATTGAATTGGTATTCAACTGTATCCACCTAAACACCATCCAATATTTACTTTATCCAAAAGTGAAATGTACAACATCTTTTAGGAAAAGAAATTGATCTCTCATTTAAAGGGGCAACAAGGATTGTAGAGAGAAAATTCTAAAAAAATTATTTTTTCTGAGCTGTCAGGGCAACATTTGGCTTAACATCTTCTTTGACATACTTTTTTCTATCAATTTCAATATTAAGAAGTGTAAATTCAGTTCAAAGCTTCTATAAAGGGAGTCCCACTTATAGATTTTTAAGATCCACAGACTTTTCAAGTGGAATATCAGCTGAAATAATGTTCATCCTGGGGGTTTCTTTGTAGATCATAAAAATATATGTTAGTCTGGATGAAATTTCTAAACTTAAATATATTTTGACACTGGTCCATGATCGTGGAAAATGACTAGTGTTAGGATATATAAAATATGAGACGTAAATTTGTAATCAGTCTGATCAATATCTTAAGATTATTTACAAAGCTTTCACCAGATCCTATTTTGATGAGAAACAGAATATACAGGGTACTATACAAGGTGTCCATAAAGTTTCATTACTATAACAATACAAAGTCTGTGTAATGAGACTTTTTGGCCACCGTGTATTTCAGAATTGACTTTAGAATTTGAAGCTTATTGTGGTAGTATTAGTTTATTCAAAATGAATTATACATATTAAGTAGATTGTATTTTCTCATATGACTAACAAAGATACAGCCATCTTTACCCCATGCAAGATATTGCCATCTTTCATCCTAAAAAGTCACACGTGCAAGATGAGATTTACTTGTGACATCACTAGTCTATAAACATCAACAACATAGCAATGGATACACCGTTACTATGAGTATCCATGCTCATTCTACAATCCTAAGCTGGGACGTCATAACAATGGAGCTTTGTTGCCTCATGTATCCATGTATTTTCTACAATATTGTTATGACGTCATAACAATTGAAATATGAAGTTCCATTAATCTGAAGCTATTTTTCACCCAGTTTTATCATAAAAACGTGAAAATAAAGCATAATACAGAGTCATATGAGAAAAACTTTCTCATGTCCTCGTACCTGTGCAATATCGTCCATTCTTGACTCGCTTTGATAATATTTCTTTATCTCGTCTGCGACTCGATAAAGAAGAATTATCAAAGCTCATCAAGAATGGACGATCTTGCACAGGTACTCATATAAGAACCTCTATATAATTTATTGTTTGATCTGTAAAATAAAGCCCTCTGATTGGTCAGTTTTTGTGCTGTACTAATCTGTATAGCTACTGAGATTGTCCCCTTTGATCATTTCTGGAGCAATACAGAAAAAAACGTGTGACCGTAGATTACTTCCACGAAATCGCTAAATTCGTAAGGCAACTGTAGAATCTACGGTCGTTTTAACGCCTCGGTACGAATTAAGTATCCAATTTTTGTACAGACCGTAGAGCCACCGTATAACTATTATAATACAGAATTTCTCGAGCATATTATATCCTGTATTCTGGTATTTTTAAAATATTTATTGATTTATAGCGAGTAGACAAATGTTTTTTATGATGAATTCCAGACAATTCTGATTCTGAGCCAGCCTTAATATGAATCTTTAGATTTTTTAGAACAATTAATCGCTGTCCTTGCTTTTACTAATATTTATTACATTAATTTACTAATATTCTATGTACAGATGATCTGCTTGCATTCATGAATATCATTATATATTACTCTTATATACGCAGGAAGCTAGTCAAAATGTTTACTTCTTGTTAAAAGGCATACCATTTTCAAATAGATTGTAATAGAACTGTTATGTAGTTTAAAGTTAAATATAGTTTATTTTGGTGTAATCATTATAAACCCAGAGATTGTGTCAGAAATTACATTAGAGACCATTTCTTGAACATATAAAAAGTGTGATTAAAGAGCACTTGACATATTAAGCTTTAGTGTCATTGAAAAATATTTGAGCTGAGTATTCCTTTAACAATTATTTACATTTTAGTTGTGATATGTGGTATCAGCCACCATGTTACCTGACCATAGGGTATTGTAATAAAAATCACTATAAATATGGTTTGAAATAGAAATAAATATGTACTATTATGAAATCAATTCTGAATACAACAATACAAAGATGTTAATTCTTCTATGAAAAATATTTGATTTTTTTCTAATAATGGATCAACATTCTGGATTGTTCTTCTTGTCATCAATCTATGTCTTATTATGCAGTCTGGTGTCTTTGGTTCATGGAGATGGCTATGCAAAAAGTAAGTGGTTTACATTGGGTTACAAGGGGTATGAGTAATAGCTTGTCATTTAAAAAACGAAGGCCATTGCCTTGATGGTAAGGTATTTAAATGAATTAAGAGTGGCAAATTCAATTGATTATCATCTTTGTCCATCACCGTCTTTCTTTGCCATGAAATATGTTACATGTACAGGGTGTCCCAAAAACGTATACCCATATTAGAATAGAATAACTGTTTTCTTTTATCGAAAAAAACTTCTCAGGATGTTCAATTAGAAGTTAGAAAATCATAGAGATGTTGCATTACTTCCTGAGAATTTCATCTTGATACACAAGATTTTAGTTGCTCCAACTTGTGTTATAACAACTTGGAAGTCGAAGGTGAGAAATTTGACACTCTAAATAAACTCAATCATCCAATGGATGCAAAAATGATTGCGATTTCATACATTGAAAAATGGGTGATGGCACTTAAACAAACTTTCCTCAAAAAATAGAAATAGTTACATGATGAAACTGTATAAATAAATCATAGAAGTTGATAATCGTGAGTATCATCGAAAAATGTGTGCAACCATCAACATTTGCGTATAACAGTAAATCACTAAATGTGTTTAACAATCGGCAAAGTGTCCAGTCAATAAACATATACATCAATTAACACTCCTTAACTAACTAGGGTGTATAACAGTATAATGTATATGGATCGTCAGTCAAAAGTCATCTTAATGAAAAAATAATCAATTAGAGGTTAAAAATTATAGAAATTTTGCATTACTTCCTGAGGACGCTCTAAATAGACTCCATCATTGAATCTAGCAATCAACATACATGGAACATTGCATAAATCAACATTTGAAAATTGTACAATAAATGTGAAATCATGTATACCAATTGCAAACAGCAGTTATGTGTACCATGGGCCCATGTGTGTACCAATCAACAAAAACGTGTATTGGACAACACACGTGTAACAAGCAAAGCAACAAATCTTTTAGCAACAATTGTTTTATGATCAAAAATATTAATTTATGTTCATTGGTGTTAACGACACAGGTGATGCTATTAAAAGTAATTGCTTAGTTGATTGACCTGTGTTTTGCTTATGATGTACACTTGTGAGCTTGTTGTCATTAAGGGTCTGTTAGACTTCCAGCACCTTGGGCTATGTTCTTGTGAAATATTCAAATATACAGTAAAACTGCCTAAAACGACACTTGAATCGTTTAAAAGTTTTCGGGTAAACAGGTGTTCACATTTCGTGCTTTTTAACATAGAAGTCTAAAATATGTAACCGAAAAAGCGTTCACATAGAGAGGTGTCTACCTAGATTACATTAGAGAGATTTTCCGACATGTACAGGTTTTGCCATACTCGTTTCCCAGTTTGATTTTCAATCTACATGATCTATGAACACATCATACCTTGCCGAAATCCAAGATGAGGTTTTGCCACCAGTTGGTGAATTGCCGTGACATCGAACAGCATTATTACATGTTTTGACATTTGCTATTCTAACCATTTTATTTCCCACTCTATGTAGCGAGGTGCTTCAGTTGTAACTACAATCCAAGCAAGTACGGCTATCACGTCAAGTCCTACTGGCGAGCTGTCCAGAAGGACGCCGGCTTCACGGCCTGTGCTCTCATGAGTTACTCCGATATGGACGCAATCGACAAGTGGAAATGTGGGAGTGGAATGTGCTTCATAAGAAAAGAAAAGAATGGTTGTACGTATTTGATGCATTATTTACACTATTCGCTGTTTTTAGATTTCGTACTTGTAGCTCCATGCTTTCAAAAAGAATTGTACGGGAACGTGTAAAATTATGGTTATCTGGGGATTTTCTTATTTATTTCAGGTTAATATATTTTAATATGCAATAAATAGACTGTCAAAGCTAAAAAACGTAACTTGGCAGTTTTAAGAATCTCAATGATTCGTTCTCCATTTCGTAGTATTTACTTGTCCAATTGAGCATAATTGTCAGAAAAATATAATTGGGCCCCGGAAAGTACAAACATTTGGTTATCCCTCATATTGTTGCGAAGAGTTACTTGAATAGTATTAATTGAAGTCACTATCTTGGACGGTGAGTTTACGATTTATCACGATCGTCGTCCAATACAATGACTTGACCGATCTCTTTTACTTCCAGTTATCTACAGAGGTTGTGCCGACCAGAACAACCTACCGTTTGGCGTGACCCCATACACGCGCTGTAACTACAAAGATGGGTCTCTATGGGAGTTTTGCCAGGGAGACTTGTGTAACAAAGGCCAGATTAAAGATGATAAAAAATGTGGGGCTCACAAACAAGACGACTACTCAGCATCTTCAGGTTATGGTACGTACTGGTGAACACATAAAAGCAAGTATAATACCCACTTAGGGGGTTTCCTACTATTCTTGTATGGCGTTGGCAAAAGTATGATATAGGATTGTTCCTTGCATTTTGTTCGAGTATTAGTGTATTAGATCATTCCATTATCAATGTGAATTCGAGCGGTTGTTTTCCTTTAGTTGATATAAGTTACTAGTTAGTTGCCGTCCCGTCACATTTTAGCTATTTATTTCTTGATCAAATGATCAAAGGGACTACTGTATATGTATTTTGGGGGAACGTATGTATACACTGATCGTTCCACTGTAGTGTTTTTACAGAAACTCGAGAGGTTGTTCGGGTTGTTCCACATTCCGATGGTATTTAAGGGAGATCCAGAGGAGTTAACCTGTTTGTTCCACTTTTTGGATCTTATGGGAGTTCTAGAGGTTGTTCCAAATATTGTGTTTTCCATCGAAGAATTGCAGTGGTTGTCCAATGTTCTTCTTTGAAAAACAAATCGCATTGTTTTCACGATCAATGAGACTAAATATTACAATCGTGGCCAGTTTACTTTCTTGTACATTTTCAGACCCGTGTGATGGAAAGTGTTACGGGAATCCAAGTGGCTTATTCGCCAATCCGTACGACGCCGGTGGTTACATCCAATGTGGTTGTGATTTTGTATACGGGAAGGCCTGTCAGTGTTGTAGGGCATTCTATATGAAATGTCCATATGGTGCGACTTATGACGATTATACGAAGGGTTGTAGCCAGAAGTATCCCGTAAAACACCAGCCCGTTTATAAATCTGTTTCGTATTACAAACACCAAACTACTTATCAGTACGATACAAGCTACAAACAGCCAAAACAGTCATACCCTCAACCAAAACACATGCCCTCATATCCCCAACCAAAACATATGCCCTCATATCCCCAACCAAAGCATATGCCATCGTATCCCCAACCAAAACATATGCCCTCGTATCCCCAACCAAAACATATGCCCTCGTATCCCCAACCAAAACATATGCCCTCGTATTCCAAACCAAAGCATATGCCCTCGTATCCCCAACCAAAACCCATGACATACGAACAGCCCAAACAAGTAACTTACGTTGTTTATCCAAAACCTATGACATATGAATATAAAGAACCCTCTTATGAAAAACCAAAGCCGCAATCAACTAGCTATTATCATGACCAGCCACTGCATGATGAGCCCGCGGCTGTTAGTGAAGAACTCGAGGAGGATGAGCGTGAAGAATTCAATGATGACAATACTGCGCGAGAAAGTAAAGACGATATAGAACTTGCGAGTAAATATTTTAGCGCAAGAAGATCAAAGAGAAAATTTTATAGATCATTTGGGTATTAACAAGTATATGGATTGTAAAGGTTATCTTCAATTAATATTATGTAGAATATGTGTTAGTTTTCTACCACTATAGTATCATTTGTATATACAATTCAAATAAATGCATTTTGCTTCTGACACACAACACACTATTCTTTTGTTTTTGGCCATCCCGTAATCGGAATCCTCGAGACGATATCGCAATTCATGAAATTAAAATTGTTAGATCGACAAAATCATGTCCAGTATGAGATTAAATCATTGCATGTCAAAATAAATTATTGAGACACAGAGATTAGTTTCATTTATGAAATATTCAAGAAACACGAAAAAAACATTTCCGTACACACTTAGGAGTGTTCTAAGTATAACATTGAAGCTCGATCATCCTCAATGAGATTTTATATGCAAGCTTAACCTCCCTGCTGTGTTAGCTGAACACCTCATACACACATCGAGTGACCAATAAGAGCTGAGCAGAATGGACATGATACGCTAAATAACACTAATTTTGGTGTGCTGGATGTGTGACCTGGGGAGAATGTACACGTCGTATGTTTAGTTGCATCAGTAGCAAGTGACATACAAAGAGGTTGATAAATTAAATTGAATAAAACAGCGTAGCATTGCAGTTGTAATTGTGTTGCATTCCAGCGAAAAAATGAAAATCCGTTTTCCTCGTAAAATATTCAAATGTTGATAATATATATTCAAGTGATGAAATTACACCCAGAAATATGATTTTAAAAACTGTATATCAACTTTGAAATGTGTCTTCTTAGCATAGAACCCCCCCCCCCCCCCTTATAAAATGATGAAAGGTGAAATATTCTTTCTTGTATTAAAGACAAAGGCCAAGAGTATTTTCAAGTGTTTTCAACTCCCACCACTTTCTTTTTGATGACATCCATACAGGTGTAAAAGGGTAGAAGGTCCTTTTAATTTATGGTCCTACTCTCCATTGATTTATATGGTGACCTCTTTGTGCTCTTTCCCTTATTATCGTATACACAATCAGGGCCAGTAAGGTCCTTTAAAAGGGGGACCATAATCCCTGGGGGACCATAATTTCTTTCACACCGGTGTGACCTAAATACAACTCTTTCCCTTATTATCGTATCCACAATCAGGGCCAGTAAGGGTCTTTAAGACAGGGGCCATAATCCCCAGGGGACCATAATTTCTTTTACACCGATATCCTTTCAGATAAATTCCAATTACAAGTACCCATGTACATGAATAAATAAAACTAAATAGATTACATTGTGAACGCCTACCCTCTAGATTATTTGTGTAACGTTGATACCCGGGTGAACTTATCATTCACTGAGGATTACTACCCAAATTATATATATGCTTCAAATGAGTTTAAATTAGGCCTAGTAGTTGCAAAGAGGGTAGCACTTGCTTAGTAAACAAAATTTTGATTGGGGACTAATCATTTATACCTTGATTTTATTATACATCAACTTTTTTATAATTTCAACATGATGGTCAGGCTTTTACGAATTAATGGCCATTAAACTTATCGATCCTTCGATTTCATGAAATTTCAACGTATATCTGATTTCCACAAATAAATATAAAAGGTTCAATCATAATGATCTGCAATTAAAATTGTGGCGTGTCACGACCTACTTTCCACATCATCTTCACTCCGTATTGTTTAGAAATAATATGGCAGCAAGTGGAGTTTTGCCCACGTATCAGCGGTACGTTAACGGTGTCCCTGTTACCCCTGGGCGCAGGACATTACGTTTAAGAGAAAAGTATATTATTTTACTAGTGTTTGTAACATTTGGCACGGTTTGTTTTGGTGCATTTTTCTTCTTACCTGACTTACGAGAACGAGTGAGTGTTGACGAATTTCGTCGCCAACTGGCCGATGGAGTAATACCAGAGGGAGGGGGGCCTGGAGGAAAAATACTGAAACATGGGGTTCAAGGAGTGGACCCTCATAAAATAGATGATAAAATGAGACTTGATAGAAAGATAGAGCAACATAAACACCAGCTTCCTTTACCGCCTGTCTCAATACCCAAGGATCTCAAAGACGATATTGAAAAACAAAAACAACAAGTTCTTGAAAAACAAAAGGAGGAAGAAGAAAAGCGTAAAGCTGAAGAAAAGGCTAAGTTATTAGATGGGGAAAAAGATCATGAGGGTGGCATTGGAGTTCAAGGTGGTGAACCCAGTGATCCAGAGGCAAAAGAACGTAGGGATAAAGTACGAGATGTAAGTGTATTAATCTTCTTCACTTTGATGTCTAGAATTATTTGATTTCCATAGCATTAGAAATAACACTACAAAATGGTATATATTTATTTTTGAGTGTTGTTTCTCTCTAGCACTCGATGACATAGGGGTAATCTCGGACATGGGGCATTGTCGGATGATCTTCAATAGTTCTTTGTTTTATATTGTTTCTTTTTTGAAACGTCTTATTAGATACATCATATTATCAATGTGGTGCTATATATTGTAAAAGGTCTAACAATGCCCTGGATTAAACCTGATACTAAGGGTTTGTCCGGGAATGCCCCGTCGCTGTCAATGTCCCTATCTCCTCTCGTTTCTATTGTCTGAAGAAGTACCGGAGATGTACATCTACAGGATAAGCCATTTATGCTAGTTGATGATTTTAAATTGGTCTCTTCATACAGTATGTACATGTTTCTATGTTTCACCTGGAAACCATAAAAACACTTGTGTATGTGAAGAAATATGATATTGCCGAACACTCACCCCTCCCACATTTAGTAGCCTAATTCTCATCATATTTACAATTAACCTATGATATCACTGTGTTATCAAGTGTAAGACAAACTGTAGAGATAAGATTATGAGAAGTTATATCCCGTTACATTAGGGTATTGGAGACATTTTGACCATGTCATATGCCTTATTATTCCCTTGGAGTATAACCAGTTTTCGAATTGGTATACATTTCCAAATCAATGAATGATAGACAGTTAAAAAGGTGACATTGGATTTTTTTTACCTGCGAGTATCATTTTATTGCTGTGACCCAGCGATTATCTGTTTCGTTACGTAACATGTCGTGTCAACCATTCTCCCGGTAATGAAATCGTCTACTACTTCGGCTCTGCTGATACTAACTCGTCTGTATCACGTTCAATAAGAACATTTCAACCAATCAGCCCAAAGAACAACTTTGCTGCCCTCAATCGATACATGTACTACATTATTCCATGGGGTGTTTCGTATAAATCTTCATAGTGTCAATTTGTTACGAAAATAAGTTAGGCTGCTTATATGAAGCTAGTATGAATAACATTGTGGAATATACGTTTTTAGAATCTACTTTTACCACCTAAACTTATTGTCTAGAAAAATAACTTCATGAAGAATGAAAATTCTATAATTCGAAACTTTGGCCACGACTTCGGCTCCCTAGCTCTGTCTGTTACATAGCAAATTTTACCAGAATTTTAAAAACAACTCCACCAAAAAGGTAATATTTTACATTTTATACTTGAGAAGCGACATAAAGTAAGATCCGACTCCATATCGCATGATATGGTCAGGAAAACGATACTTTAGAATGTTCTGCATCGATTGAAGTAGGGTAAATGTTCCAAGATTTCTTACATTTTTGTAAAAGACCTTAAACATGGGCTGGGAATATCAACATATGCATAGCCATCTATCTAAAGATGGCTATGTGCAAATATAGTAAGTTTAAGTGTTCATAAAAGTGTTATGAACAGATCTACATTTAGAGTTTTTAACATAGTCATCTTTGTTAAAAAGTCATTTGAGATTTAAGTAGTAAATGTGAAAAGATCATTCTTCAATAAGGATCCAGACAACATCTCAATTAAGCATCAGTAGAGAAGAGAATTAATTTCAAGTATATCAGAGATTTATAATTAATCTGACGTTTAGTCCATTCCAGACTACAGCTTGTACCAATCATTGATGACAGTATTAGTATCTGTCTAGCAAATTATAATATTGATGAAACAGGTCCATAGCCAGGATTTGCCAAGGGGGGGGGGGTCACTTTTTTTTGAAAATTGCCAGGGGGGGTTTACTTTTGACAATTTTGGTCCAAAAATGACCAAATCACTTAAAATGTGCTCAGAATGATGAAAAACTGCATGATTTTGAAAGAATTTTTGGCCAGGAGAGGGTTCGCTCGAACCCATCGAACCCCCCCTGGCTACGGGCCTGTGAAATGATAATTGATTTCATTATCAGATGCTTGGTGACACTTCATTTATATTGACACATCAGGTCAATACAAATGGAAGCATATTTATATATCAGGAAGATTAAATATTAAAACTTATCGACAGATTAATATTAGGAATTGTAATCAACGTGGGATTAAATTATATGTACATATTACATCGACACATCCATGGCTTCTATAGGCTCTATCATTCTACTTTCTCAGACCTTCCATATTACATTTATATTATTGAACATATAGAATTTCCAAGGTTTTGATATTCTTCCACATGTACATATAGATGCGGGGTAAAGCTCATTTGATGGTATTACAATATGTAACTGATATAGTTGGGTTTGTTATCAGATATGATATGGTTTGTAGGGCATTGAATTTTATTTTTAAAATGTTACCTTCTATGCCCTTGAAAATTGAATATTTTGTCTGGTTACGTATAATGATCAGTGTTCGCGTTGACGCCGTTTTTTGCCATTTTTACGGAAATTTCACAAGGTTGGACGTAAAAATCAAAATCAACTTACGTCCCTAGGACGCAAAAATTATAAACTGCTTCAAGATAACTTTTACTGCAGCACAGTAGCGGTGAAACATGATTTTCATCAAGATTTTCAGACTCACTACCTTGATATACGAGCAATGATCCAGGTATATTTATATCGACAAATCTGATTGGCTATCATGACTACCGAAGATTAACAGGGTTTCCAGTATGAGACATGGATTTTGATTGGTTCCGATATATTCCGGAAAATGCCGCAATCGAAATGGAAGATCAAATCATACAATATTGCAGAAATCCCCTGTGGTTCCCCACAAATTGAAACGATTGTTTTTCACGATTTTCTTTATTATTTCCACTAGAAACCATTATATATCGATCTAATGTACATCAAGATAATTGTTTCATGATAGATCGAGGTCTTTCATCTAAAAGTCTTCAGAATAAGGAGAAATGTTAATAAAAAGAAGTAAAAGTTCACGACCTTGACATGACCTTCAAGATCGCAAGTTTTAAAATGTGAAAACAAAACTCTTAATTTGAGCATTTCCTTTATTCAAATCTGACTATTTTGGTATAACATTACTTAAGAATTGTTTGATAAGGACCCAGTGATAGATGTTTATCGGGAGGATGCATCAAATTACAATGTATGTCATTTTTATCCCATTTAAGTGTAAGCACTCTATTATCGCCCACTTTATTTTCACTTTCACAATATTTTCTTGAACTTTGTGAAGAAATAAGAGGGACGCAAAAAAATTAGATGGGGACTCAAATTTTTCAAATAGGTTGCGTCTCTGGGACTCAGAAATTTTAATGGCTAGCGCGAACACTGAATAATGTGTACCTTTTCATAACTATGATGCTTGTTTTTTTAAATTAAATGCAGGAGTTCATTAGCAGCAGCCAACAGGCAATTTTCACTGGTTGTTTTCACAAAATCGCCAGTTGTTTTTAGGGACTTTTCCATGTTAAACTTATGATTTCCATTGATTTTGCCTGTTGTTTTCGTTTAATTAGCCTGTTGTGAGAAATTCTAGTGAAACCCCTGAAATGTTTATTTTGTTGATTACAACTGATGATAAGCATGATGTGTAAGAAAGTAAGATTAATCTCAAAGTTACTAATGAAATGTGATACAGCAGAACATGTATCTTCTTGTACCAGTTGAAACCTACCAATATTCTAAACATAAACCCCAAATTAGAAAATCTGATCTTTTGATTGAGATTTAATGAGCGATTATCACTTACCTGAAAAAGTCAGCATTTTACATTGGATCATAACATACTGTTACTGTGAACATGATGTTTTACCAAATTAGGCAGTGGAACTGAGTGGTATGGTTTCATATTTACATATCAGATTTATTTTACTGTTTTAAGAGATTTGTTGAAAGGGAAACCCAGTTGTTTTGACCACAAGTAGCAGTAAAATTAGAGTTGAGATTGATAACTGTGATCATATGTTCAGACATTAATTGGTTTCTATGTTCTCTTGTGGTTACACCAAATTTGAGCTGTATTTTGATATCATACCTAAAATGTAACAAAACTGTGATCTCCCCAGGATTTTTTCTCAGGTGGGTGCAAAATTCGCATTTTCACAATTCAGACCAAAATTGGTCAAATTATGCCAATTTTTCATGATTTTTCTCATTTTCAAGTGGGTGCAAAGGGATTTTCAGGTGGGTGCAAGTCTGTTTTCAAAATCTCAGGTGGGTGCTGCACCTACTTGCTTTTAGGGTAGGGAGATCACTGCAAAATGTTCCATTTCCACTTATTTGATTTTACTTCTTAAAAGAGAGCTTCATCTACCTAGTAACATTTGATATAAGTAAACACATTTGTGTTGTTTGTTAATGGGACATGTTTTAATCTTTTATTCACATCCTTGTTGTTTTTCTGTGTAAAAAGGTTGATATGACACCATTGGATTCATGCTCAGAATGTTTCTTTTTTTCAATTTTAATTCATAACAGGCAAAACGATTGAAAACAGCAGGCACACTTTATTGAACATTCACTTTAATATAAAAATTGCAGAGTTGCTCAAAACAGTAGATATTTCTGGTGAAAAAAACAACCAGAAAAATATACTTGCTGTCACTGTACTATAAAGTCATGCAACGTTTAATCTGTATTATGCAAATATCCAAATGTCAATGGGATGTAATAATCATCATTTAACAAGTATTGGCATCTGAAATTTGGATCAATTTCTACGATTATTGATCCCAGAAGGATAAGAAGACATGCAAACATGATGTGATGATGTAGGCGATCACCATTAGAGCATCTTTTGAATTACAACATTGTCATATTATATGGTTTTGTTGGTATTATCAATGAAATATCTTCGAGACTCTAATAGTTTCAATTCTTGAACCAAACTGTAAGTCAGAAAGTCTCATTCAAACTCTCATAAAGGTCACAGAAAGTATTATTGAGATTGTTAAGATCTTGTCAAGATTAGATTAGATTAGATTGTCTCTTCAAATTAAAGGGTGGTGTAG